TGTTCCCTGGCTGGTGACCAGCCTGGCCTGACCCCATAAGAATAACAGACAGGTGACAAGGGAAGCTCGAGATTGAAGGCCCAGGGGCCAGGGTTCCCAGGGAGAGCAGAGACATGGGTAGGAGACACACTGGTAGCTGGGTAGCTCTCGGCACGGAGGGTTTCTCTTCCAGTTTCATGTTGCTAATTTCTGTTCTAAAAACAGGAATCCATCACAATTCTTTCTCCAGGGTATTTTAAATCTGAGGTCAATTTGTATACATTTAAAATGGAAGGGGCAGAAAAAAAATAAATAAATTCTCTGTGACCAATAGATTGTTGATTTTGTTTTTCTTTTTCCCAGTTGCCCTTGATTTTGTAGGACTTTCACATTATGCAGATAACCTGGAGGAAGAGAAACTGTCCATCTCTCCACTTACCTCTTCCTATTCCTAAGAGGGGGCCGCTGGCGATTTTCCCCCCTCTGCAGATGAGTTTTATCATTTGTGAAGGCTCCTCAGACAACCTGATTTAATCTATGACAAGAAATGACAGAAGCCATTTCAGTTTCTGAGGAGACATTTGCCCCAATCAGAGACTTAACATTTGCTTTTTCAAAAGTGTGTCTTCTCTTATTTTGGAATATTGACAATTTTTCTAGCTTTAGATTTCCTAGCCTCCTTACGCCATTCTCTGTTTTTAACCTAATTCTGAACTGGAGAATTGGAATTAGTGGCCCTAACAGCCTTCACATCATAGAACCTTAGATCATAAACCGTATTTACTTCTAAAATGTTTACCTTTTTGATTTCTGCAGTCATCAGCAATTTGTATCTGACGCAGGAAGGCCACACTTTCTGCTCCCAGATAAGCCAGCCAGTGGCTTGCTTGGGGCCATGATAGTGTCTCAGGGTTATAGGTGTTTCATTTGTTCCCTCTCACTGGGAGAAAAATGCTTCAGGGGTAAGGAATAGAAGAAAGCCTCCTTTCCCTCTCTGAGGTCAAAATAGTTGACTGAAAGAATTTTTAAAATATATGTGTATGTGCTATTTTCTAATATCAAATACGTGATGTCCTAGATTCTAACACTGATCACTAATTCTCAGTAATAACTGAGCGCACAGCAACTCACAATTCCAACACTGTGTCCCTGGAGTTTGTGTCACAGGGCTCAGCCCTCAGGACTGCCCCACTCAGATGTCATTTGAAAATGGGACAACCAACTAGACTGCCTGCCCACACTTCTGCTCAGCTGGCCACAAATCTGGGGATTCCCATGTCCTCCCCCAGCCCCAGATCTAATGATTCTTTAGGGCAGCTCACACAACTCAGAAACACATTTCACTTACATTTATTCTAAAAGGTACAACTCAGGAGCAGCCAAATTGAAGTGATGTGTGGGGCAAGGCATGTGGGGCCTAAAAGGGGGCAGGGAGCTCCCATGTCCTCTCGGGGAGCAACCACCCTCCCAGCACCTTCCTGTGCTCACCGGAGATCTTATAACTCCATCCCCTGACCCTCCCACACCCCTCGGACATAGGGGTGGGTTGCTGCAGGTGTGGACCTCTGCTCACTGGCTTGGTCTCCCTGGTGACCATCCCCACCCTGAAGCTACCTGGGAGCCCGGCCATGTGTCTCCTCATTAGCACAAGCTCAGGTGTGGTCAGAGGGGCTCTTTATGAATAACAAAGATGCTCCTGTCACTAGGGGAAGTCCTTGGGTTGTAGGAGCTTTGTGCCAGGAAAACAAAATACTGTGTATTTTTTATTATACCACAGGTATGTTTTTAAAGTGAAGACGGGCTTCTCTCTTCCGCCCTCCCTCTCTGCCCCTGCCCCTCAGCATTCCTGTTTCCCCTCTGCGTCCACAAGCTCCTGAAGGGCATCCCCCAGCAGCTTCTAACGGGGCCCAGGGTCAGAGCCAGGGAAGAATTGGGATTCCTATGCTACGTTTTGATCGACGTTCTCCCCTTCCTCCCCTGGGCGTCCCCTGACAACCCCACATACTCTTCTCTTGAAGATTTAATGAGAAAGAATCTCACAGAAATAAGGAGTGAAGGAAAAACACAGGCTCCTGTGAATGTGCAGGTGGGAGAGTGGTGGTGTTTCCAGGTTTGCAGGGCTTCTCTTAGGTCTCACCCTAGGGGAAGCATGCCGCGTGCCATCTGCAAAGACTGTCCCCTACCCCTGCTTTCAAGGGACCTAGGAAGGGAGAGCTTTGTGAGGACAGACAGCCACTTTCTGTGTGTCTGTATACTTATTCCACATCCATTCTTAGGGCCTTCATGGGAGCTTGTGGGTAGGGAACTAGCAGGCCCCAGGGCTCCTGAGTTCTGACCAGGCCCTAGGACACGTGGCGTGAGGTCCTTGCTGCAGCTCCCAACACCATGGCCACAGCTCTTTCTGCCTCTGGCTGCACCTGGGATACTACTATTAGGACAGTTGCTGTGTCCTGTAGAATTTTGGAAAGTGGAGGAATCTTTTTTTTTTAAAGCCATCATTTATCACTTGCCTATTAGGACCATACGACTTCCATGTTCTGCTGTGGGCACTGTCTTCTTTCATCTCATGAGGTAGGGTGCACACCAGGAAACTGCAGCTCAGAGAGGGTGGTTTCCTCCTCAGACTCTTTTTTTTTTTTT